AATACTTTCTCTACTATACTTTGCAAACTTTTGTTTTCGTCACTAGATGCTTTACCTAGTGCTCTGTCTCCATCAGTGGTTTCATTTCCTGCAACAAGTCCATCAATGGCCTGGTTGGGTGTTTCATTCGCTACGTCACGTGATTTATTTCCATCGTTGCCAGCACTAACTTCATTTTCTACTGGAGAACGGATCGATTTTTCAAATGCATCTTTTTTCAAAGCATTTTTAACTATTTTTTCCAACTCTGTGACATTCAATAGCTCATATTGTTTCCCAGTATCATGTGATTCATGTCGTCTATAGCGATGGATGCCAACTCTTGGCTCAGCAATACCAGTACTTGCTTTGATGTACTTTTCATCCAGTAGAAGTGATCTAAAAACGGTTTTACCAACACGAGCTTCACCTTGAACGACTGCTTTAGTGAGATGACATGTCACTTTAGTCTTAAGTGCTTCCCGATAGTGACGTAACCCTACAGACAAAAATTATTTAGAATTGAAAACATACTGTATAGCTTGGTTTTTTTTGGCCTCAAATTTCCGTTAGAATTAATTTTTGTATTTAAAATATTTTTAATAATATTTGTTTCTTACTTAAAATTCATAAAAATGCAAAATGCTACTAAAATATAAATATAAAACATTTACGTATCGTCATTAGATGATACATGGATCATTACCTGGATCATCAGTAGAAACATTATTCTTGGATCCTACAAAACAATATAATCTTTAAAGGAAAATTTATGTGTAAAATACATGTACACTCGACATGTGATTATCAAAGCTTGTGCTTGTAAACACATTAGAACAGATACAAAGTGTTAATATAATAATTATTATCATGATAACTTACTGATATGCTTAGCTGCTGCTCTCTGACCAATTCTCTCAAGAGCATCACATAGATAGATCATTTTTGGACCTCCTACAAGAGCAACACAATCATCTTTCTGTAACCATTTTACTAGACACTCTCTATGACATTTTTGTACATCTCCACGATACTGAGCCTCAATAGCCTCCAGTGTATCATAATAATTTAATCCTAAAGCTGAACCCAGGGATTTCCAATTCTTCAGTGAAAAGTGAGCTTCATTCAATGTGTCAAGTACATAACTCAAATCTCCAGTGCCTAAGACAGGACCTATGGAGTAATGGCATATAGAATCATTAAAAGATATGGTTCTTAATGGATGTGTAGTGAATATTTCTATTAGTATCAGTATCATGAGTACAGTGTAATTATATTACACTGTGACTGTACATTACATATCAAATGGGTGGGTTATTAATACTAGACCAGACCCACTATACACAACATTAATTAATTTGATCATACCTTCAAGTTTCAGTGTCCTGTGAATAACCAGTGTAACAGGTTCAACCACACCTTTCACTGGTATGCAATAAAGTAATCTATGAACAGCATCAGGTTTAGCATATATTGATATATCACAGGAGGAATACATAAGATAACCAGGTTCACTAAATTTATCAACTTGATCTCTATATATCTATTGAAACACCCACACACATTAATTATATATATACATGATACATGTACTTACTCTACAAGGCCTCATCTGAGGTTCAATACTCCATCCAGTGGTTGGCTTAGCTTGTGGAGTATTAAAGTATAATTCAATAAAGTCACCTCTTGAGGCAGGTGTAGAGTCTTGCTGGGCAAATTTAAAGGTGATAGTTTGACCTGCATGTATCTCAACTCTAGAGTGCTTCTTTTTAATATACTATAAATAAAACACATTAATACACATCATGTACACATGTACCTATTATAATATACTTACATCATCGAGTGTGCCTTTATCTTTAGCCACGGTAAATGTTGCTACATATCCATTAAAAGCTTTCTCCTCATAGAATAACCTTCCAATATATTCAATATCACTTCCTAATGTAAAGTGAAATAAAATGATTCAAACATTTAAAAGAATAAAACTAACCCAAAGAGGCCATATTGACAATATACACCCACCAAAATACCTAATCATTCAAAAACAAAGTATAGTGATCATGTGACACAAAGTTATCAACTTATCATGAATGATTTTACATACAAAATTACAATAGACACACCTCACACATATACATACATAGTTACATACCTGTACAAGGAATATACTATACATGTACTGCATGAATATGTAGATGTCCCTTGTCATTTACAAAGCACTGTTACTAAACTTAGTGCTGTACATTTATACATGTATGTTCTCCTTATCATTATCTCTTTATCTCATTCCCAGAGATGTTCTATTGATGGCAGTCAGTTCACTCACACTGAGTCATTGTTCCCTCTACTGATATCAAGTGATCTTGATAGATCAGTCCTTCATGATCTCTGGTCTGCAGTTAATCTAACCTCACCTGGTCAACTGACACAAACTGAATTATATCAACTATTAGGATTGATTGGACTAGCACAGAATAGACAAGTGAGTCATTAACATGGAGCACTCTAATAGTTTTATTAGTTACATTAGTATTCTATTCTAGTATTCTGTGATATTTATTTATTCATTTATTTGTCTATTTTTTTAATGACACCATCTCCTCCAGTACTGACATTAAAAGCTATTAATATCATCAATACTAGTAATGAAGGTAATTAATTACATGTATACTACCTGGTATACTGTTTTAATAATAGTAATAATGATTGTTGTAATTTTGATTTTTGGCGATTTTGCACTATCTATCATGCATGCATGCACACACAATTATTATTGTTTTATCGTAATCAGGTAGAAGAAATTTTTCGTGATATGGTGGCTTTGAAAAAGCCAATTAACAAAAAATGAGGCGGAAACTCGACCCTGAGGATCAGTGGCGTAGCTGAGGTAGGGCCTGAGGGGGCCTGGGCCCTACCATCAAAGTGGCCTTATAATTATATTCATAACCCAAAAGGTTATATTCATTGTTCTTACAATAACAAAAGGGGATGGCTGATAACCACAGCTCTTTTAAAGCTATATACAATGATAATTTCATTCTGATTTTGCTCAGCTTGCAGGAAAATGCCTCCATTTTGTTACGTAAAAAGGGTGTGGCCAAAATCGCGGCACGCTTCGCGCGCCATTTTGTTTCCTTGCCCTACCGTCACCCAAGGTCCAGCTACGCCCCTGCTGAGGATGATCACTGGAGTTTTTGTGAGAGACAGCAAACTTGATGACTACCTCGTTTAAGCAGTCCCAGAGCTTAGAAGACAAATCTCTTTCTATATATAAAAGATATAGGTGCAAACAGCATGGAAGATTGACATTTGCTCGCCATTTCAATAATTAACTTGGGCGTCACTAATAATTAACTTTATATCATAATTCATAACTTGAATAAAATGGCTGCTGCTAGAGCTCTGGCTCTCTCAGCTTCTTCCTCACTCCTCAGGCTAAGTGACAGTCACAGACTGACAGTATAGTTCCAGTGTCCAATTACACCTGTGGTAATGATAGTCTGACAGTCTCACACACAGTGGCACACTCAGTCTTGCCCAACCACCTTGCCCAAGCTTCTGCCCTCACTGCCCTTGCCCACAGGTCAGCTCACAGAGTCAGGTCGGGCATTGCCCCTATATGCCCGACCCTGCCTATGCCTATGTCTCTTGGTCTGAGAAAGGACACCATTTGGCCATAGGGACTGACAAAGGATAGATACAGATATGGGACGCTGCTAACATGAAGCAGACTCACACACTTACTGGACACTCTGGAAGAGTTGGTGAGAATTATACATGTACCTGCATACATTCACTAGTACTTGTACTTGTAATTTATGGTTCATTTATTGCATCATGATGATAAATGGATCATGGATTTTAAAATGGTCATAACTTGAAAATTATTTGCTGGAATCAGCTTAAGCTTTCTACATAGCATAAGGACATCAATATGTATCAGAAAATGTAATAAAAATTGGGGATAAATTTTTAGTCATTTTTTGGAAAAAACCATGGGCTATAATAGTACAGGGATTTTTCAGAATTTTGGCGTTTTCTTTAAATGGCCGTAACTTTAAAAATTGAAGTCGAAATTGACTCAAGCTTTCTAAACAGCATAAGGACATCAATATGTATCAGAAAATGTAATAAAAATTGGTGGGTCATTTTTTAGCCATTTTTTGGAAAAAACCATGGGCTATAGTACAGGGATTTTTTTTCAGATTTTTGGCATTTTCTTAATATGGCCATAACCCAAAAAATTGAAGTCGGAATCTGCTCAAACTTGCTACACAGCATAAGGACATCAATATGTATCAGAAAATGTAATAAAAATTTGGGGTGATTTTTTAGCCAATTTTTGGAAAAAACCATGTATAGCCTTGGGTATTTTTCAGAATTTTGACGTTTTCTTAAAATTGTCGTAACTTGAAAAATTGAATGTGGAATCAGCTCAAACTTTCTACATAGCATAAGGACATCAATATGTATCAGAAAATGTAATAAAAATTGGGGTCATTTCGGAGCCATTTTTCAGAAAAAACCATGGGCTATAGCCTTAGGTATTTTTCAAAAACTGGCCCATTTTTGGTAAGAACCATAAGCTAATGTATCTACATTGTCTCCTGCAGGATCCCTCTCATGGTGTGGTGATGTATTATGCAGTGGTAGTTGTGACAACATGATATTACAGTGGGACCCACGTCTACCTGCCTTCCCCACTAGGAGACTGTTAGGCCACACCCAGGAGGTGTGTGGACTTGCTGGTCCCCTAATCATCAACACCTGGCCTCAGGAGGAAACGATATAAAGTAAGTTTTAAAATTAATTTTATTTTATTTTTAATTTTATTTGTGCTTTATTAGTTATTCATATGGGATGATTCATCGACCACACCCATTCACTGTCTCTCGGATCATAAAGCAGCTATAAAAGCTCTTGCATGGTCACTGCATCAAGTAAGTGAATAAAGGGTTAAAAACTATAGTGCACACCTCCATTAATTGGTTGATCTTTCTTTTCCATTATTTCCCCAGCATGAACTATTAGCCTCAGGTGGTGGTACAGCTGATAGGACCATCAGGTTCTGGAATGTACTGACTGGCATGTTGAATAAACCACTTCACCTTCATAGTTCACACTGACTAACTCGTATTTTAAACCGGTTTGACGAGTTACTAGCAGCTCAGCATAAACTGAGTTTGGAGGTATCTTTGACAGATTACTGGTAGGAGTCGTATTGGTCTTCAATTTGTTTAAAGGTGACTGGCTCACAACTGGAGATGAATTCACTGGAGGAGCTTTTCGTTTCTTAGAGTATTCCTTCTCAACCCTTTTTAATATGTCTGGTGGGCATATCAAGTTCTCCTGGGTTCCCCTAACCCACAGGTACATGTATTTTAGGAGGTTGGGAAGCTCCTCCACTTCTAATATTTCTAATATTTCTTCAGCTTCTGGACCTGGTTCTTCAATCTGTACGGTTGCATCTAATTCTTCGTCCTCCCCATTATTGGAAGAGAGGGAATGAGTGGAGCCGAGAGTACCTGAATCATCATGCTCCGTATTAGCAGTCGTATGAGTCTTTGATTTCTTTAAAGGTGGCTCTGGAGGTGCTTTTCTTTTTTTAAAGTATTCCTTTTCGACATTATCTAATGTTTCTTGTGGGCATATTACGTTTTCCTCAGGCTCCCAAGTATTGTAGGTAGGCGAGTAGTCCTTCCATTTTAAGAAATAAAATTTCTTTCCCACCTCTATCTTCATTTCAATAATCTTTTCAACTTCATACAGCTTCTCTCTGGCTTTCAACTTTCTTGTACGATGTTTTCAGGACCTCGGCATTTCCTAGTCTTACAGAGGTCCTTTGATTCAGAGAGTGTTGGTGTCTGCTAGCTGCAGGTTAGTGTCAAGACCAACGCCCACGTGAGCTTGTAATCACCATGCAGTACCACGTGTAGAGGCTGGGCACAGTGGGCAGTATGTCTCATACATACAGATATTTTTTATATATACAGCTAAATTTTTTACAAATTTTTTTAAGTTGCTTAAATTTAATTCACTTAAATTCACTGAGTTTTCAACCTATCAATCACAGAATGTGTCAGTAGCCGAACCAGTTCTTTCATCTCCCTCTCATACTATTGGAAGAGGAGGGATAGTGTCACCATCTCCTATACCAGTCCAATGAGCAGCACATCAAATAATAAGGTAAAGGGGAGGAGGGTTCATCTTGCTAAATTTTTATTACTTTTAATATTTCTTAAAATTGTCTCATCTGTACGTGTACAAGTACCTTTGAGTTGTGAACTTTTTATTAAAATACATGTACATGTAAACTGTACATGCTTTATACATTGTACACTGTACATTAAGTTAATAAAATTTTTTGTAATTTTTAAAAATTTATGTTAGTCTCTTGGTTTGTCTGAGATTTGGTGTCAGTGTCTACAAAAGTGTCTGGACCTTGCAATCATTTAATGTCCAGCAATGATGAGGAAACACTTGACATAATGATTAATGAGAGAGAAGGAGAAATGAAGATTAAAGGTATTAATTATGTATGTAATTATTATGTACATGTACATGTATTATTACCAAGAGTGGATCATTATGTTTTATTACATTTTCATTATAAAAGAAGTGGAACAAAATACGTGGACTCTTTGATCAAGAAAAATTGATAAAGTAAACATGTAAATAAATAATACACATATCTTTATCTCTCTCTCTCTCTCAGATTATTTATTTGCTCTTGCTCCAACATTTCCTAAATTTTGAATAGTTTTGAAATGAGAAGTAAAGTCCTTAAGACAGTCTGATTCTGAAGAGAAAAAACAATACCAATATTATTAAACTTTCTCATAAATTATGCCACATAATTTTGGTGATTAGCTGGTTTAATTATTTTTGATTATTGATTTTGGTTTAATTATTTGGCGAATGGTTATCAAAATGCTAAAATTACTAAACTTTCTTCACTTTGAAATTTCACCAGCTGCTATACAGACTCAGTACATTTATTTTATTGTGGCATGTACATGTACATGTACTAACTGGACAGCTTTGAATTCAAAATGGCTGGAGCAAAAAAACTTTAAAAAGATAAACCCACTAATTGACGTGAACAGCACTTTTCATCAAACTCTAAAGTGGGTGGAGTTAATAAAAGGGGCGTGGTTATTGGGGGTGGTCTCACCAGGGAATTGTTTGACCATAGATAATAGAGTAAATGAAATTTTTGAAATTTCATTTACTCTATTATCTATGGTTTGACTGATAGTGTACGCAATAAGTGAAATATTCTCTTCATAACTGAAGGACAGGAACGGGCAGAACTAGTAATGGCACTCATGAGCTTCTCAACAAAAAATAATAAATTAGTCTATGGAGGGAAAGAAATAAATAAATTATCATGAATATGTTCATAATGTATTAGAAAATGTCATGTATAGTCAACTAAACTAACTTTTGAGATCCAGCACTTTACTGGCCATTATTCCTTCCTTGTCATCCTCAGCTAAGTGTCTTATAAAGTCCAACAGTTCATCTCTTTGCTTCTTGCTAGCTCCTACCCAACTCTTTTGAAAGCAGCCAAACAAGTGGTCCAACTGGTCAGGAGAGAAGTCCCAGGCTAACTTAAATAACAGTTCATGTACATTGTATGTTCTTCATTATAGCTTCATGTTTACCATCCTATGGAGTAAGGGGATAGTAGTTGTTTATTTATTTGTTTGTTTGTTTATTACTTGACAGTTCCATATTCTGTCCAGGTCTTCAAGTGTCAATACTTTCTCTTTTATACAAAACCTCAAAGATGATTGGAGCAATTCCTCTCATATTAATGAAAGATGAGGCTTTGCTTTATTATTTCATCTGCCCTGTTGCTCTTTTGCTCTCACTACAAAAAGTTGCAGGGAAACTGACTACATTTGGCGACTTTGCCAGCTTCTTTTTCCACGGAAAAGACAAATCAAGCATTCCCAAGATAGAGACTCTCCAGGACTAGACAAGAAAGCAGTGTCAGCTCAAAAGTGGAGGTCAAGCGAACACACACACACACAGACAGGACGACTGCTTTACCCTCAATCATGCCTACACGTGTCTCGGGTAATAAATAAATAATAATAATAATCAACTCATAGCTATTCTTTCAGTTGTGAGTTGTTCCTCATCTCCTATTGTCCTGAAGTGAGGATGATAACTCATTGAAGGGACAATCTTATTAATCTATTAATAATAATAATAATAATAATAATAATAATAATAATAATAATAATGAATATTAATTACTTCATTAAGGGCATTTATTTTCCCACTAAAGCTCGGTATTTGTAATAATCTAAAAATAATTTTCAAACAAAACATCTCAATATCATCTCTACCAGGAATCACTGAACACAAGTGATGCAACGACTGTAAGGAGAGGAGAGAATATAAGGACATCAATACACAGCATAAGGACATCAATATGTATCAGGAAATGTAATAAAAACTTGGGGTGTTTTTGGAGCCATTTTTTGGAAAAAACCATGGACTATAGCCTTGGGTACTTTTCAGAATTTTGGCATTTTTTTTAAATGGCCGTAATTTGAAAAATTGAAGTCGGAATCAGCTCAAACTTGCTACACAGCATAAGAACATCAATATCAGAAAATGTAATAAAAATTTGGGGTGATTTTGGAGCCATTTTATGCAAAAAACCATGGGCTATATATAGCATTGGGTATTTTTCAGGATTTTAGCATTTTTTAAAAATGGCCGTAACTTGAAAAATTGAAGTCGGAATCAACTCAAACTTGCTACACAGCATAAGGACATCAATATGTATCAGAAAATGTAATAAAAATTTGGGGTGATTTCGGAGCCATTTTTTGGAAAAAACCATGGGCTATAGCCTTGGGTATTTTTCAGGATTTTAGCATTTTTTAAAAATGGCCATAACTTAAAAAATTGAAGTCGGAATCAGCTCAAACTTGCTACACAGCATAAGGACGTCAATATGTACACAGTATAATTGGCCACACCCCCACTGACATCCCAATACTATTATTAACCTGAACTATACCATACCTTCATTATTGAAGAGAAGGTCTCACTCCTTGAGTCAGTGGTGGCCTCCTTCTTAAGTAAATCATCATTTAAACTGTTTATAAACTCAATGGATTTATCCTGTGAATTATGTATAAATAAATAAATAAATAATTATTATATTTAATGACATTACACAAACTCACCACTATTGCTATGATGTAGTCATTTCTAACTCTCTTGGTTAAAAAACTTGAACACAAACCAAACGGCCTAAAATTAATTATTAACAATAGTTAATTAACCAGTGGTTATATTAATAATAGTTAATTAACCTAACCTTAATAAAAAGGACAGTATATGCACTGTTAGCTCTCCTTTACAAATTCTCTTCTTTAAAAAATCAAACCTACCCAACTGGCCAAACCGGTTTATCAAGACGACCCTATACAAACAAGTAAACATGTAAACAAATTAACAAACAAACAAACAAACAACCTTCATGTTGTGTTTATGAGCGTCAGGGAGTGGCCTCGCATACAGCAACTCCTCCCACTTCTCTCCCTAACAAATGAAACCAATACATTAACATACATGTATTGTACATGCACTTTAATACATGTACCTTTATGTTAATATACTGATAATACCAATACATGTACATGTACATGTACATGTACACATGCATAAATGCATCAATAAGAAGTGCATTAATAATGCATTAATGCATCCTCAAGTCCTTTTTCAAGCTTGTTACTATAGAACATGTTACTGGGCGGTACTGCAGTCTTCCTAGGCGTAGCACAGCGAAGAGTAACAAAAAGTAGCGAAGTAAAATAACTACCTATGAACTACCTACAAAGTTCTCTTCTCTACTGTACTCTACTTTCGCTACTTAGCTTTTTTAAAGTGCTCTACTGTATAAATGCATTAATACATGTACATTAATATACCAGATACATGTACTAATAGATGCAGTACATGTACATGTACTTACAGGAACACATGATGTAGGATCTTCTGATGAATTAAACACATTCCATCTATAGGGAGGTAGTTATTAATAGTTATTAATGGTTATTAATGATACTCACTTGCATGATGGATTAAAAACTATTGCCAGTAGATCTAAAAGGTAAGTAGAATCATCTTCAATTTTATAGACACACAACTCCACAAGATATCTTGAATTATTATAAATATCAAGCTACAGTAAATAAAGGAACACATCACACCAATACTTTATATTAATACAGTACAGCTGCTAATATGGGCAGGTAATGTGGGGTTGAACTGATTCTTAAAATGAACTCTCTCTGGGACATCAAAATATCAAATTTGTCAAATTCCTCCTCTTCAATATTACCGGCTGTACATGTACATGTACACAAACCTGTATGTCTAGTTTCCAAGTCTTCACAGCGTCATCAGTTAATATTCTTATAAATGAGGTAGTCAGTCCTTCTCTATAGAACCGCTGACATTCTTCAAATTCTTTATCTCGTCCTGGAGGAGGTGTGGCTTACATGTACATGT